ACAAAAAATAATATATTATATATATAACATCTTTTGGTAAAAATTTTTTATTTATTTTTATCAACAATTGATTTTCAAAAATTTTGATCTTAGTGCTCAACATAGCTTTCGCCGTCTAAACCACGTTCAATTGGCGCAGAGGATGGGAGAGTTGTATTATATTTAATATATGAATATTTTAATGGGAATATATTAAAAATTATAATGAACTATTTAATTCCTTTCCTCATCAAATTTTTTTTTCTATCTTTATCAGAAAATATTCTGGTATGTGTGTTGGATAAAGGAATTAAGTATGCTCTTTCTTTATCGAGATATTCAAACTGAAAATAAGTTCTACCATTCTTCCTTTGTTGACCTCTAATTTCATCCAGGGCCAATCAATCCAATTTAAATAGCGGGTGAATTATTGCGGATAGGGACATAACTAAATATGCTTAAAGTAAACAGGTGTAATCAGGTTCATTTTTTAGATCGTCATCTTTTAATAGAATCGCAAGAAATTATTTATAGCTATGACTCCTTTGCATCTCAATTTATGAGAGTAGCTTCTATGATCACTAATGACTTTCCTAATATATCTTTAAACCTAAAATCTACTCCAAGATTTCATGTACGTTATCGCAATAATCCTACCTTAGTGGTATTATTTAGTTTATGAGGAGAACAAACCCGAGATATATCCAAATATAGCTGTCCATGTGAAAAAACAGGATAAGGTAAATAGATGCCAACTTTGTTCAACCTTTGTCCTTGAGCTTTATTAATTGTTATGACAAAAGCAGATCTCACGAGAAATTGGCGACGCTTAAAGGAAAATAGTAACCCAAATCAGTTGAAATTAAACTTATTATAGGAATGAAAACTTTAGTGCTGAGAAAGATACCAGAAACAAATTCCGCCTCAATTATATTTGGTCGCTAAGAGGTTAAAATTAATTTAATCTCATTGCTCAAACCAGAAGCAGAATTTAAATAATGCATTTAAATTATAGATACCCCTACTTTGAGTGAAGGTTTTTGAGGTGGTAATCCAAAAGTTTAAAAATTCAGTAGGATAAAACGTCGCTTCTTCCTCGGTTATCGTTTCTTCAGCACTTATATATATATATATATAATTAAATCCAACTAAGAAATTTTGTAAACCAATTTATTTACTTATTTAGGGGTCAGGATAGCATTTTGAGCAAATGATGTACCGTATATTGTATTTGTCTATATGGTAAACAAAAACAATAAGATCCTCAATATCATTAGAAGCTATAAAACAATCTTCAGAAATTTTTATTTTATCTCTGGAGCTAAAATGTCTCATAGCCTTCACTAACTCTTAAAAAAAAATTTGAGTAATTATCATTGATAAGAGATTCATTTGCGTTGAGAATTATAGCAGTCTCATATTTAATACCTAACCTTAATGGCAATATATGCGACGATAAATACTACTGTTTTATGGTTGAGTGTCGTACAAGATGCTATTTTAGAAGGGGATACCAATGCTGAGACATTTTTGGCAGAAAAATCATTTTGCCTTCTTTTTTTTACTAGTGGCCCAAGGCATATGCATCAACTTTATCGGGTCACAATGGCTATTGTACCCTGCATTAGTAAGCCGTCAATACATCACATTCACCTGCAACCTTAAGGGGAATAAAGCATGAATTATTTCCTCATCAAATTCCAGACCACCGCACATATTTAGCTTGTCACTTTTTTCATCAAAAATATAAATTTCCAAAAGGATTTGCTCTAAATTTTAACAGATACACAAAATAATAATTAATACACATCATTTATTTAAAAAATTAGCCTAATTTTATATGGATTTACAAGAAAAACAAATTTCTTAAAAATAATATAAATAAATTGCAATTAAGTTACATTTATATTGAATGGCCTTTTTGTAATTTAAATAGATAGCATTTTTACTTATCATAGAAATATAGCATTCTTTGATAAATAATTTTGGAAAGACAAGACATACAATAAATTTATCTGAAAAACAACAATAGACCAATATAATAAACAACGATTTATTTTCTAGATATAATTTTAATTGATCATAGTAAAAAAAAGTGAATCTGAAAATATAAGTGAGAAAGTGGATGGGTTAAATAACTAGGATTTTTCATGTTTTGATCTAATCATTTTATTTAGATTCAATATATTTTCTACAAATAATAAGCATATGTTAATTGATCAATTTTTTTTTACGTTTTATGATCACGTTTCTCAAATTAATCATCCTTTATACATGATATTTATTTAATATAAAATAATAAATCAATTATTTATCAATGTTAATTTTAAGTTAGTCTCTCGAAGTGTTAACTGAAAAACTATTAAGTTAATGTATATATTATAAAATAAAAAAAATAATAATATATTTACGGTAAATAGAATACATTAGCAGATTCATTTATTTTTATTTCATGGATAACAAATAATGATGCAGACATTAATCAATGAGCCTTATAAAAAATAAATTTTGTTATAATTGTTGCAGTGGACGCAATTTCAATCCATATATTTCTCCATAACTTAATTTTTGGGTTATTTCCAATAAAACGAAGTATGATTTCTTATTTCTTATAAAAATATCAGGACAATCCTGATTTTCTCATAGTCTCTAATAAGTGGTTTACCCGGGCTTTCAGAGTTTCCCTTATTACGAATTCATGTGTTTTTTTTAATATGTATACTAGGATTTAACCCATAGACTAACTAGCAGGCTTGTTAACCGATCTTTTTAAAATAATCGAATCCCGATCACGATCTTTTCAAAAACAAAGGATCGAAATCCATGATCGAGAGATTGAAATCAAACCGTAATTTATTTTATTATTATATATAATTATTTTATTAAATTTAAAATTATTAGTGAGTTAGAATTAATAAGTTTATTTAATTATATTTTAATTTAAATAAATAGTGTTGTAAACGAACGCGTTCAAAATGAACGCGTTAGTGAACGAAGTTCGTTTTTTTGAAAAAAATGATGAACGACGTTCCTTTTATTTTTGACGAATTTTGAACGTGAACGCGTTCCTTTTTTATGACGAACGCGTTCGAATTTAAAGTTCGTTTATTTAAAAAATATTTTTATTTATTTGAAAAATTTAATATTTCTAAAATTTAAAAAAAATGTATTATTTATATTTTTTTAATCGGCTGTGTATTTCCTTTTCACATTTCAATTTTTTTAACACATAGTTTATTAATTTAAATATTATTGTTTATATTATTTTTTAACATGGCTAAAATATATTATATTAAAAAATATAAGTTTATTTATATTAAATTAAATTTAAAAAAAATTTATCATAAAATTTTGAACGGTTTTATGAACGTGAACGCGTTCCTTTTTTTTGAACATGAACTTGAACGTGAACGCGTTCGATTTTTGTTAATGAATGTTGAACGCGTTCGATTATTTTAGAAATGTTTACAGCACTATTAATAAATATCTATAATTTTTTAAATATTTTTCATTTTTACTTCCATTTTATAGAACAGAAGAAATAGAAATACAAAATTTAAATAAGGCTGAGCATGAAAAAAATGTACAAATACAAATTGAAGGAAAAAATGGTAAAGGTAGATAGCATATATTTTATAAAAATTAGGTTAGGCATTGATATTGATACTGAAATAAATTTAATCAGTGAATTCGAATTGTGGTATAAATATTTACTACGTTTAGCTATTTTACCTGAGCATGCTATTGATGCGCTCAATCGGTGTAAACAATTTCCTAATATTTTGAAGTTGTTTTATATTCTTGCCTGTTTGCCTATTACAACATGTACGAATGAAAGGAATTTTTCCAACTTGATAAGGTTGAAAACATATTTACGAAGTACTACTTCCGAATCTCGGCTAAATGGATTAGCTCTGTTAAATCCACAGAGATTTGGTTCCAACGATAAACGAAATTCTTGATGAATTGGCAATATTCCCACGAAGATTAAAAATCACATTATAATTATAGTATTTAATAAAAAATTTTATATAATATTGTATTTGATCAGAAGTTAAATAAAACTTGTTTTTTAAATTATTTTCTAGTCAATATTTTATACAAACTATTATTAGTATTTTCAATAAAAAAATTATAATCTACTTATATTGTATATGCTGAGGCTAGTTTTTAAAGCAAATTTTATAAAAATAATGACATTAAACTTTATTTCAACTTTACATTTAAAAAAACTTTATTAAATATAATATATTAAACTTAAAATAAAAAAAATATGCTTGTAATATCCATAAGCACGATTTAGTAAATAAAAGTTAAAAATAGAAATATAATTATTATTAAATTATGAATAATTTAATAGAATAGCTAAAACATAAAACCCTGCCGAAGGCCGGGGGAAAGCTGACCGAAGGCCAGGTAAGAGGGTTTTAGGGGCGAAGGCCTCAAAAATCCCCCCCCCCCTATAAGAAAATCCTGGATACGCCACTGGTTTAATCACAATATTTATTAAAGAATACCATCAAAATCTACTATTTCTCAACATCTTCAATAAAAATAACGATAAATTTCAAAATCAAAATAAAGCTATATCTCTGAATTACACTTTATTAGGAAAATTATTATTTATCTATCATCAAATATCAAATAAGGAGAAAATTTTTATCATCGAATTCAGGATAAAATCTGATTTCTCGTCATTCCTGATGTGCTTACCTAGTAAATATTAATTAATAAATATAAATAAAATGATGTTATTTTAAAAAAATCTTTATTTTGTTTTCAGATGAGATAAATTAATTTATCTGTTTTATTTTCTATTAGAATGCTTAAATATTTATCAACGAAACGAGAGCCCCACTGTCCCTCTAACATCGGCCCCTTACACCTCTCTCCACTGAGATTCAATCGAGAAGCCTGCGTCACACTCCTTATTAATACCAGAGGCCCTTGCATAAAATCGTAGAAATAAATCCGAAATATTTATTTATATTTTTATAATTTACCTTTCCTAGTGATAACTAATATTTCGAATCTAATATCTCCTGTAGTAAGAAGTTCTCTCCATCCAATATTGCCATATCTATTGTCAAATTATAGTTTTCATATGTCAAATAGACAGCTGAGATACAAAAATAAAGGAGCGTATGATGCTCAGGAATTAAGACGAAGAAGGGAGGAAGAGGGAATTCAACTTAGAAAACAAAAGTGGGAAGAAAATTTGCATAAAAAGCGAATTATGCAAGGAAATGATGAAGGAAATGATGATCTTAATATGGTACAAGATGATGAAGATATCATGTCATCTAATAAAGTTTTATTAAAATTATTCAAAAATATATATTGCTAAATATATAGGTCCCTATTTTAGAAAAAATTTATAGTGATAATATACAAGAACAACTTGAGGCTACTCAACAATATAGACGATTACTATCTCAAGGTTATTCATACATCTTATTTTGTTATTAATTTAATATATAAAGAACCTAATCCTCCTATTGAGCAAGTTATCAACCTAGGTATTGTTCCTAGATTTATACAGTTCTTGGATCAAGAAGATGACTCAATGTTGCAAGTTTAATAAAATTTATTTTCTCTTAACTAATTTATTATCAAAGTTTGAAGCAGCCTGGGCCTTAACTAACATAGCATCTGGCACAACAGAACAGACTAGAGTAGTCATAGCGGCAGGAGGAATTTCAAGGTTTGTAAAACTTCTACAGTCACCTAATCAAGATGTCAAAGAACAAGTAAATATAAATTAGTGTTGATGGTATGTATATAAGTTAGTATAAAATATGTAATTATTTTTTAATTATGAATAAAATGTTTCTGAAATCAACAGACCTGGCTAGATCCATAGCCAATAAATTGGTATAATTTTAAAAATATCTCTAGAGATCTCCTGTTTAATCCATTTTATTTATTAATAATAAATATTTTTTAATGTTAGTAGAGATCTGCATGACCCAAGTAATGATGTGGCCAAAATTTTAATTAACCAATTTTATAAAAAATTGCAAATTTAAGATTTTAGTTAGATATATTTTGCTATTACTTTTGAAATCTTGTGCCATTATATACAAAATCTTGAGGCCTAGGTAATATTTTTTTGGCTAAATTCCTTGCTTAGCTCTTTTTAAAAAAATCTACTAATTCAAGATTTTTGGTAACATTAGCATTGAGCTGAATTAATCTGCTGGTTTGTGCTGAGTCATGTTGATCTCTTGTGGTTAGTGAAATATAGTTATGTTTAGTTAGAACTAGTGCTGTAATGTTACTTTGAAAAAGGAATGTTACTCATAGCATCTGATAAAAGGAACGTGTTAACATTATTTGATACCTTGTGAAAAAAGAATACACATTACTGGCTATTCAAAAACTAACACGTTACTTGTTACTTGAAAAATTAAAGATTCTATACAAAAATTTCCTATACATACATATATATATATATATATAAAATAAATAAAATTATAAATAAAATACTATATTATTTTCCTAATAATATATGATGAATTTCATATCAAATCAACAAAAAAACTCAATATTCAAGCTGACCCTCTCAGAATTTTTTTTATTGGTATTATATACTATAACTAAGAAAAAAAATGAAATTTTACTTCCTTACACCACTTACTTGCTAAGATTTGGGGGTTAAATAGTGAAAAATGATACATTTCGACAAAATTTGTCAATTTCATATATTTCAAAAATAAATAAAGTTAGAGCAATCATTTCACATAGATAAAGGACATTTAATATGACAAATAAATGTGATAAAAACCCAATTAGTGACAAAAACCGGATGTATAAAAACCCGAAATGGCCATAGAAAATAAAGAGATGTATATCTGACTACATTATATTAAATTGGGAATGGGTAAAAAGGGATCAAAATAGAAAACTAATAAATTGATTAATTTTATAAGGAAACAATTTCCAACACAAATATACCATAACACCAAAAGTGCCTTCTAATGATTTGGAAGTTTTTTTGGAGTCAATCAATTAGATTATCAGGAAGAAAATATATTTTAACAAATAATATACTATAATAAATATATTTGATAATTATAATGATTTAAAAAGCATTGATATACCTCTTCTACTACTCTCATGATTTTTAGGAGTGAGTCAAATTTAGAAAATTTGCTACTGTTAAAAGCAAATAAATGATCAATGCACTATTTTCTTTGAATAAAAAGTACAATTTTGTTTTTTATACTTTATATTATATTAAAAAAACTTAAAGGAGAGGTGATTTCTTTTTTAATTTGGAGCAATAGCTAGCTCTTTTTAAAAACACAGTAGGGGAAAAAGAGCTAGCACATTTAAAAAAGGAGCGTTAAAAATTATAGTATTGTTTAGGGCTGTGCCGATATTAAATATCGGATCGGACCGATACCTGTAAAAAACCCGAGCCGATCCTTTTACTAAAAATGCAATTCTTAAAACTTTTGAGTAATGAAACTTTGAATTATTATTACATCATATTTATTATTTTTTTAATAAAAATTTTTTTTTTAAAGTTTTTTTAAAAAAATAGAAAGGAACACCCAAAGTTTTATTTTTAATTTTTTTAAAAAATAACACCAATTTTATTATTTATACTTTAAATAAAAGAATTATTTTAAATATGGTTTCTGAATTATGGGAATATTTTGATTAAGATAAAGAGAATTTTGCAAAATGCGTTATCTGCAGAATTCTAATTTCATGGGGTGGAATAATGAAAAATTCATTTAATACAACAAATATTCGGAAATATTTAAAGCGATTCCATCAAACAGAATTCGAAGAGCTAATACAAAAAGAACTAGAAATATTAGAAAAAACATCAATTTTTTTAAAAAAAGAGCCCTGAAAGTCAGTCAACAATATCAGTCATTCTTAATAAAACTAATATTTGAAAATATTCTGATCCTTTGCCTGAAAATCTAGAGGCTCTTATATTTATTAAAAAAATCTAATATATTATAATTTTTTATGTTAAATATTACAATTTTATAAACCAACATAAAATGGATATATTATTATATTTATTTTATCTATTATAATATAATTTTTTTAAAATTATAGTTGAAATTAAAAAATTAAATTAAATGCATAATTCTTTTGCATAAAAAATATTTATTTCTTAATTACATTTGGTTTAAAGAGGGGTGGTAAAAAATCAATATAAATATCGGATCGATTTTGAACCAATATCGGATCGGATCGGTGAAAAATATGTGGATCGGCACAGCCCTAATATTGTTTATTCGTTGAATTTTACTATTTTTTCACGCACCTTAAATGGAGAAAGAAATTTTTGAGTAGACTATATAGAAATATGAAATTAAGGAAGAGGGGAGTGTTATTTAAAAGAAAATGAAGACAAATTATATATATCAACATAAAAATAGTATGAAAACACAAAATTCTCATAATCATATTTTCCATGAGTGGATTTCAGCCTCCCCCCCTACGCCACTGATGTAAACTGATAAAAAAAAATTTAAATTATATTTAAAAAAAATTAGCACTTTTTTTATAAGAATATTCTTAACTTGTAAATGAGCCTGGAGATTTTGCTCATAGGTGGAAGAAAAGTTTGGACTTCTATTTGCCAAATCTTGAAAAAATTAAACAGACCTTTTTAAAAATCTACACCAATCGGGCTGTTTAATAATACTATCTCTAGGAATGACTATGAATTGATAATTATTTCGATATTTTCACTTATATTCATTTGATTAATATTTTAAATTTTAATTAAATTAAAAAGGATTGATCTATATAAATTTTTAAATTTATAAAATAAGTGTCAAGCTACATATTTAAAAAACATAGTTGAAACTTGGATTAACCATTTTTTTTAAAAAAATAACTTTAACACAAATATTATATTTATATTATTTTACTCTTAACAGAGTGTGTGGGCATTGGGTAATATAGCTGGTGATAGTCCAGAATGCAGAGACTTGGTATTGAATACAAATTGTCTGCCTACAATATTAGAGTAATCAATATTAATATTTAAAAAAATTTTATGGTATTATGACTATTTTTTTATATAAAATATTCAATTTTTTTATACTTATGACAGAATTTTAATGAACCCTAAAACGAGATTATCGATGCAGCGTAACTCAACTTGGGCACTTTCTAATTTATGCAGAGGAAAAGATCCACCTCCCAGCCCTGAAAAGGTTTTTTACCATTAAAATATTTACCCAAAATCTCATAATATCAAAAACAAGGAAAGTATAGTGATTCTAATCATAATAAAGTCAATATGCCTCACTCAACATTCTTAAATTCATATGCATAATACATATGCAAAAAAACAGTTAATAAGGAATATAGTATCCAAAAATAATAGAGAAATTTTTCATCTCCTGACTAGCTTAAATCAAGTTCCCTCTTGCTACAACATTCAGTTTGAACGATGGATCCGAACCACAACTTGTATAACAATTATTATTTACCGAATTGAAACTCTTAAAATTTAACCAGAACCAAACCTCTAAAAAGGTCTGCTAACCGGCTTGAATCTTTTGACATTTTAACTCCATTAAAGATTATTAATAATCAGTTTTGATTGATAAGTATCAATAACTTTTTATATATATTGGTATATTACTGTTTGACGGTGCTACCCAATTTGGCATAGAGAAGTAACCATAGAATTTATTCTTTCTCCATATAGGGATAATTTGACAGAAGAAAATCTTGAAAATATTTTAATTTGTATAGGCTCAATATTATTTTTTAGATAATAGTGATAAAATTTTTAAAAATTGTGATTCTTTTTGCTATTCTATAATGATTATTTACAAAAATGTTTGAATCGGGTTTTAAAGGTTCAACTCTAAATGATGCTCTAATTTTTCGCTAACCGAAATTACCATAAATATTATTTTTATATAATCCTGAATGATATTCTTTCCTATTCGGATCCATGACATAAAACCCTAAATTATATTTGGTACTGATACAAAAATATTTTATTTAATAACACTCTTTTACAGGCTTATCCGATATATCGGACAGGAATTCATATTGCTGATATTTAAGAAAATTCTTATCAGTTTTATAAAATTTTTATTCATTTTTTTTTAAGTCAGAGAAAGCATAAAAACATAAAAAAACAATTTTTTTCGAATGTAAAAATGCGAAAAAGCAGATAAAAGCATGCATCAAATCATTTTAACGAAATTTTGAAACACTCGAAAATTAAATTTATATTATTTGCAATAAGATATTGGTAGATTATTTTTTTCATATTTATGCAGTCATATTTATACATTGTTTTAATAACATTGAAATTAATTATATGAAATGAATTAAAAATTTATTTATTTCTTCAAACAAACTTTGACCTATCTGAATTTAAGTTTACATTTTAAAAAAAACGTCCTTAAAATAGTCCCAGATTGCAAAATACAAACGTTTAATTTAATAAGTTTTATATTTTAATGTAACGTAAAATATTTTATATTATTTTTATATATTATTTAAATCGCAAATAAGGGTAATTAATTCCATGAGAAATCGACCAGCGATTCGGCCGACCATCTCAAAAATGAATGAAACTTGGCATGTTAGTTATTTATGTTGTAATTGTTAATAAAATCAAAATTATATATCATTTTATAGCCCTTAAAATTTTACGTTGGAAAATATAAAAAAATTAAAAAATTTCAAGTGTTTTCTTATTTCCGGTAAAAAAAAAATTAACATTGTTAGGAAGGGATTTATTTTGCGTGTTAATATTCACTAAAAATGTTTATTACCTTTATATTAAACGATTTAATAAAAAATCTCGATAGCCATTTTTGTTTTTTTAATTTTATTTGAATTTTTATTATTTTTATAAATAAAAAATGCAATATAAATGGCGTTATAATTTTTTTATAATATATAATTTTTAATAAAAATATGAATAGTATTGTGATTAAAATTAAAAAATCAATTGTGTATAACCAAGAATGATGTCCTGGGACAATATATAAGCAGGCAGTCCATACAGATATGATTTTATTAGGACGCTATATTGTAAAATAAACATATTTTAAAATTTTATACACAAACAATATAAAAATAAATACCTCTTGTTTTAATCTTATCCCATTTTGTGCTTATTAATAGAATTTCTTGAGACGATAATTTGTAGGTACGTCCTGTCACTGTAATAGGATCTACTATTGTTATTATTTTATTAATGGGTAACTATATCTTTTCCGCAATTGTGTGGTAAAAGAAGGATGGTGATGGACCATGGGGATGTAAAAAGGAAATATATATCTCCTCAGTAATTTCATTCTTTTTTAGTACTATGGCTAACCACCAAAAAATCGTCATAAACACATGTTACGAATCCTTTAATATCAGCAAAAGACAAATTGTCCTCATTTGAGATATTGTTAATTTGAAAGTCCTCTGCATATGAATATATTTTTGATTTAAGTTTAAAACTCAAAGGAAATACAGCATGTATTTCCCGAGTTCTTGAAATGGGACGAGCTAAATTGAATCTTTCTCGTAGTTTAATCTCTTGTAAATTGTATTGTTCGTTGGTTATATATGTAAAATTTACTGATGGCATGTTTTATTTTGCAAATTGATATAAATCAACTGGCGTTAAAATGTGCCCAGAACTGATGTGCTGAAGGCTTGAACGTGCTGCTAATCTTTTTGTTCCGCCAAGGTCGTCACATGGACCTTTTCCATGGGATGTAGCTGAAAAATGCCATTCAGCTTCTACCCCAAAATCTGATTCATGATAACACAGATTTATAAAAAAATTTCTGTTTTTATATTGCGCAGCTGATCCGTCAGAGCAGTAATATAATATATTTTGTTTGGCTTTTTGTTGAATAGATTGGTCAAAGTTTTATCATTTTAGTCTGGTATAAATGTACTGCAATAACATTATGTTGAAGTGACTGATATTACCATATAATTAAGGTTTTCTATATTGCATTATTATTATAATATGCTATCAGGCTTGATTACTATTCAAGTGGAATCTTTGAACAGCGTCTTGGATTATAATTGAATAATTTTCAGAGAAATCACAAATTATCATAAATTCATTTGGTTGTAAAAATGTTTAAGTTTTGAAATATATGATGATTTATTGGTAGCGATGATAGGAATAAAAAAGAAATAAGCTGATAAAATCGTTATTTTCAAATAATAACGATAGTAGATCCACAAAATGGAAGTATATATCTACAAATTATGGCCTTAGGAATTTTTATTAATAAGCGCAAAATTATAATAATTTGAATATAAAATTTTATATGTTTATTTTACAATATAGCGTCAATAAAATAATATCTGTATGGGCTGCCTGCTTACATATTGCCCCAGGACATCATTCTTGCTTATACTTAATTGATATTTTAATTTTAATCACAATACTATTTATATTTTTATTAAAAATTCTATATAATAAAAAAAATTAATATAACGCCATCTATATTGCTTTTTTTATTTATAAAAATAATAAAAATTCAAATAAAATTTAAAAAAGCAAAAATGGCTATCGAAATTTTTTATTAAATCGTTTAATATAAAGGTAATAAACATTTTTAGTGAATATTAACACCCCAAAAAAATTCTTTCCAAACAATGTTTATTTTTTATTTTTACCGGTTATATTTTCCAACATAAAATTTGAATGGCTATAAAATGATATATAATTTGTAACTCTTATTTTTTAAAATAACAAGATTTAATGAAATCACGCACTTCGCGATTTTCGACTTTGAAGGCGATCTTTGGATCTGGTTGAGCTAGCACGCTAAAATTTTGATTTTATTAACATTTACAACATAAATAACTAACATGCCAAGTTTCATTCATTTTTGAGATGGTCGGCCAAAAATCTCCTTTTTTGGTCGATTTGATGTGGAATCACCCATAAATATAGATTGAAATATATAAGATTTTTACAAAAGATATAATATAAAAATAATTAACTATTGTTTAAAATTTAAAAGTAACAAAAATATTTCCGCAAGATGGAATATTTTTAAAAATTTAATTTGTAATGAATGATTTTATAGTATAAAATGACACTTCATATAAAAGTTTTTTATATTTTTGGAAGAATAAATAATTGCAAAATGCATGAAAAATATAGTGTTGTGCAAATTTAATTCAAAATATTTCCATATTTTTTAATTCATTATTATTTAACTTGTAAAAATATCAATTCATTCAATCCAGGTCAACGCCTGCTTAGGTGTACTCACGGCTCTGACTTGTAATGAGGATGCTGACGTGGTGACGGATGCATGTTGGGCTCTCTCTTATCTCTCGGACGGGTTGAATGAGCGGATTCAACCTCTCGTTGAGTGCCCAGGACTTGTTTCCGGACTCGTGAGAGTTTTGGCTCACGCCAAGCCTTCGGTCGTATCAGCGGCTTTGCGGGCTGTGGGCAACATCGTAACAGGCGACGATTCTCAAACGCAGGTATATTATAACTATGATGATGATAATACTTAAGTAAAATTTGGTATATCAGCAAATTGATTTCTTTTTTTATATCTAAAATAAAATAAATACCAACTAAGAAGTTCGAAGGAGGGAATGATGAATGTTTCCTTTAAATAATAATCGAGAATATCTATTTCCTATTTTCAAATCTAAAATAAAATATTGTCCAAACTAATTTTAAACTGAGAGCTTATTTATTGTTATTTAGCAAATAATAAAAATAAATCTGCATGTAAGAATTTGAAAATCAAACTGAATCTTCAAAAATTTATAAAAAAATAGATATCTGAATCTAAATTAAATTTGCTCACTTCGATTTTTTATAACCATTTATCGCTCATTGCTAACTATTTTATTCGTATTATTATGTATTTAAAGTTACCATTACCTGGAGGAAAAACAGAGACATAATTAAATTGCAGGAAATTATAATCAATGAAAATCCGAATAAATTATGATAAAAATAAATAATGAATTCTTATCAGTGATTAAAGATTTGTTTATAGAAAAATAGGGAAGAATACATGAGAACTCTTATTTCATATTTTTAGGGAAATTAATCTTTTGGGATAGATTTTGATCTTTTTATTAGTAGAAATAAAATTGAAATGCCATCCTTCAACATATTTCATAATTTGTTTAGTAATAAAACGCAGTATATAGACAAAAACAAGTTATTAAAATATTATTTGATTGACTATTATTTAATGCAATATGATTATAATTAGTAATTACAATGAACATACAATTTTAAAAATACATATTAGATGCAGATTCCATTTATAAGTTTAGCCACTTTAAGATATAAATTTTGGTACAAAGCTATTTATCGTAACGTTACCTCTATTATAATGTTTATTATAAATAATCCCTCCAAATGATATAAAAAAATTACCTCCTAAAAAAAGAATAATATTTTTTATTTAGAGAAAGAACCTGTTAATTGTTGCCATAATAAAATTCATTTTAAGAGCTAAACTAAATTTTAAATCGTTAATCAAATTTTTTTATATAATTTTATTTTATTTATTCTATAGTTGCATATAACGTTTTTATTAGGTTGTGGTTAGTCCCAATTGTTTAGATTATTTTTTTTACGTAAAATTAGTATGGAATTACTATTTTACATATATTGTTTATTATTCAATTAATATATAATAAAATGATAGGCTGTTATCGATCAATCGGCCCTTCCATTGCTCCGCAGTTTATTAAATCACTCAAAGGAAGCTATTAAGAAAGAAGCTTGTTGGACAATTTCCAATATCACTGCTGGCACTAAAACACAAATACAGGTTATTTGAACATTTTATTAATGTTGTTTTAGGTTTTAACAAGATTATATTAATTAAAATGTGAAATAATAAGGATGATACATTAACCTATCATAATATATTTTAGAAATGTTATGTTTTTAATGGCGCAATAGGGTTAGCAAAATTCATGATTTTTTATAAAAATTGGTTACACATTTTAATCAAATACTATATTAGTTAGAGAAGTAATAATAAATTTTTATACTGGTTAAAGCTTCAGGAAACCCTGTAAGGTTGAAAAAAAACATGTTGATAAATCATGAGTTAATTTGTTTGTCAAATAAAAAACCGATTTCAACTAAAAATTTGATTATTTATGTATTCGGTTTTTAAAACATATCTAACTAGTTTCGCAAAAAGAGAATTAAATATTTTATAAAACGAATATCGTAAAATTTCCTCATTCAAATAAAATTGTTAAACCAAATAATAAAATAATGGTGGTTTTATTATTTTTAATTTGGCGACTATAATTTCCCAACTGGCTGTCTTGATACACAGGGGCGGACTCTGAATTCTAGTTTAGCGGTAAATCAGAAGTTTTCCGCCAGGTCACATTGGTTTATTTTTTTAAAATAGTTTTTATTGGCAAAACTGACCAAAACGATAGGCTAAAATTGTTATTGTTACTTTTAATAAATGGAAAACTAATGTATTACACTATCATATATTTTATTGTAAGATAATTGCAGTTTAATCTAAATTTATATACATATATTTTATGTATAAAATATTGCAAGTATAGTGTCTATAAGAGATTGCTTGCAACTATTAATTAGAAAGTAAATAATTAATGTTTTATTTTATTTGTAAACCCCCATATAAAATTGCACTATTTTAATACTATGTTAGTATATTATATAATGACGAATGTTTTCTTAAATTAACGAGGATATTCTCAAATTGAATTTGGTTTATTAGTTTACGTTCCCCTGACATAAGTAGAATAGCTTATAATTTGCCTTGTCTGTTCTGTAAACGTTACTGCAAAAAAGAAACGCGTTACCGATACTCGTTGCCTTTTTAAAAATGGAACGCGCGTTACAGGCTATTCAAAAAAGTAATGGGTTACTCGTTACTTAAAAATTAAATATTATATGCAAAAAATATATTAATTTTTTTCCCTACAATGTATAATATAAATAAAACTATGCAAATAAAAAATTAAGATCTTTTTATAAAAAAAGTTTTCATAATAAAATTTTACAAAAATGATATATTATATATAAGATAACATAATTAACAATTTTTTATTTATTTTTAGCAACAATTGATTTTCAAAATTTTTGATCAGACAATCAAGAGCGCTTTATGCTCAATACATCTTTATGGGAGAGTTGTATTATATTTAATAAATAAAAATTTTAATTCGGGGAATTTATTATTGACAAAAAAAACACAAAAAGGAAACAAGAGGTTCAAATATTAATTATATCAGAAAAATTACTAAGACTAAATTCTACTATAAGGCTAAACTCAGAATGCAAACTATCAAATTAAATGCTAGGCAAACTAATTTTCGGATCTATATCTTTATTAAATAAAACTATATCAAATTACAAGGGTCAAAAATTAAAGGCGCAAAATATTATCATAATTTAAAAAGGTTTTATTACCATAAAAAAAGGTTATCAAAAATTTAAAAGTCACAAAAAATATAAAAATCGAAAAGTCATAAAAATTAAAAAAGTGTTTCTTTGTTCAAAAAAAATATAAACAAAAATCTTTGTCAGAAATGACTGACATTTCATTAATTAAAAACTAATATAAATATATATTTATAAAACTTGATTGACATTTCTACTAAAATAAGTATCATTTATGACAATTATAAATATAAATATTTAAAGAATTATCTTTATTTTGAAAAAGGTTAATAGATCATCTTTACAAGGATCTTCATTCATTTCCTCATCAAAATTTTTTTATCTTTATCAAAAAATAATCTGGTATGTGTATTGAATAAAGGAATTACCTCTGCTCTTTCTTTATCAAGATCTTTTCTCAAACTGTAAATAAGTACTAGCATTTTTCCTTTGCTTTTACCAGGGTTGTGCATTTGACCGGTCAAATACAATTCGGTCAATTGACCGATATTTGACTGGTCAAATACGGTCAAATATGGTCAAATTCAAATAAATGTTTTTTACACCAATATTAACTTTATTTTGCATTTATATAATATTATAATAAATCTATGTATAATAATAAATATCATAATATTTTTTAATTCATTCTATAGTCAATGTTTCACCCTCCGTGGCAGAGTCTTGTTCCGATTCATATTCAATATCATTATTTTCTTTAATATTTTTAATCAATCTTAAATTATGATACACTCTTACTAATTTTCCTGCTGTAGAAGCCTTTAATCTATTTCTGTTTTTCGTGTGAATATTTCCCCAAACCGACCAATTTCTTTCAGAAGAAGAAGTCGATCTAGGAAATGTTAGTAAAATATTAGCTACTTCTCTTAATGGGCAAGGTGGGCAAAATGCATTCCACCAACTTGAGGCCGAAATTTGATTGTTTCTTATGGAAGTTACAACTTTCCACATATTATGGCTATTAAATATACCGCTTTTGCTTCTGAAATTTACTATATTACTCAAAATATTTTGATTATCACCACCTTGTAAAATACCCAATTTTTGTATTATATTACATGCTTCATCAAATTCAGTATTAGTAAGATGCTCCCCTTGATATTGGGGGTCCAATAAATAAGCAGCATTGTGAGCACATGTATTTATATCAGTTTTTCTCTTTTCAAACATAACCTTAATTTTTTTTTCTTGAGATGGAGAAAATATAGAATCATGGCATGATTGTATTATGTGTTTTTCCAAATTAAGCATCTCGTTTTTTACTTGGGCCAAAGTACATTTATCCCCTTGCACTTTCTACAATGAGGTAGCTAAAGGTTGGAGTATAGCTAAAAATTTTAAATTTTTCGTCCAAAATTCTTCGTTTAATATATTATTGGTAATTTCTATGGGACAATTATCACAAACAGCTTCTTCAACAACTGATGCTTTTAGAGCTTTCTTGCATATTTGAATTTGCTCCATACATTTTATTGACGATGCCCATCTTGTTTGGCTAATTGTACTTAATGTAGATGGTATGCCATGAAGATTCTTATTACGGGAAAATACTGCAGCTGGTATGTGTTTATTCTTGAAAAATTTAACAATTTTTTTAATTATTGAAATATGGTCACTGAAGGCGTCCAATCGTTCAAAATCGTGAAAGAATAACTGCAATGTATGCGCTGCACAACCATAACATTGTATATGATTATAAATAGATTCAGATTTTAGAATTCTCCAGGCTGCTTTCATGTTAGCGGCATTATCAGTAACTAAAGAATATACTTTTACCGGATTCAATTCATGAATTACATTTTTAAATTCCTGGGCAATATAATCTGCCGTATGGCGATTTTCCTCAGTATTTAGAAATTTGTAGAACACTGGAACAGGCGTCATCACCATAAAATTAATAATACTCTCGTTTCTAATGTTGCTCCAGCCATCTGATACAATTGATAAGTAAGGAGCTTTATCTATTATATCTGCAACTCTCACCTCCATATCACCTGACGCTTTGTCTAGAAGATATCCAGCCAGCTGCCTTCTCCTGGGTAATGTGTAAATAGGACATATTTTTTTAAAAAATTCTTGGATGTAGGGATTTTCAGTGATGTGGAAAGGTAAATTGCTTGCATATACAGCCTTTGCAAACAATTGATCCAGCTCATTTTTTTCTTTGGGATTAATTCTATCTATGAAACCGGTTATACAAGATTGAGATTTATATTTAATCGCCTTGCTTGTAGATTGATTAGAAATAAGGGAATCAAATTCTCCTGAGTCACAAGACAAAATATTGTTCATTTGATAATCATTCTCACTAATTTCACCCAATTCTTCATTAGAGTTAGACTTAGAAGTATTACAAATTACATTTGTGATATTTTTTGTAGAGGCTGATATTTTGGAATTTGAATAAAATTTTTCCTTAATTATAACAGGGCACATAGTACAGCTGCTTAATAAATGTTTGACCATTCTATCAACGTGGGTGATATAGGACAGGACATCTTGCAAAACTTGCACACGCTTTAACTGATTTACCATCGCGTACTTCTTGAAAATGTTTCCAAACATGATGCTTTGGTTTGACCATAATCCCTAATATATTAAAATTTAACAAAAAATGATTTTGATTATTGTAAAGTTAATCAATCTTAACTATTTTATAATTATCGACCAATTATTCCAATAATTTCTTAATATTATAAATATAATATAATAAACTTTTTACCAGAATTGAATAATATTCCGTAAATCTGACCAGAACAATTAAAATGAAAATTAATTTTAAAAACCAAATATAGCAAGTGTAAGTAAAACAAATGAGAATTAATATAATTTATACTCGGCTAAATATGAAATAAAATTTAAATTTATTAAAAAATAAGAATGAAAAAATTATATTATGATTATAATAATCGGGTATTTTTATTTTTTTTAAGAAAAATGAATTGAAAAAAATAAAGAAGGCATGGGCAAAAAAATAACTAAAAATATTACTATATTTAGAAAAATTACATATTTATATTTTAATAAAAAAATAATAAGATTGATAAACATGCTTTTAATGCATACTAGTTAATTATATCAAAATATTTATTCGCCATTAATATTTTAGAGTATTTGACCGTATTTGACCAGTCAAATACTCCTCCGGTCAATTGACCAGTCATCAATTGACCGAATTTGACCGGTCAATTGACTGACATGCCAACCCTGGCTTTTACCCATGACCAATCCAATTTAAATAGCGGGTGAATTATTGCGGATAGTATATATGCATCTTTATAGATGTGTTTGTATCTATTGAAAATAAAAGATAATCAAAATATAGCTTGTAAGTATTATTTGAACTGTATACCTTTTATCTATGCCTTCCAG